TGAACACCTCTAATCCACGTTTATTTTTCAAAAAGCTTATACAAAGGTTGTGTTGTAGTAGAGTGCAATAAGACACTAGTAGCCCCACTAGTGCTGATTGCAGTCCTGGCAGTTCTGTCCAGTTCAGGTCCCTATTAATGCACATAGTAGAATAGCACAAGAGAGCACCAACTACTTTGGCCCCTTCTGTCCATGTGCAAAACCCAAATGGAATTCTGGGTTTCTGACTATTGCGGTTATTAGGGGAGTTAACCAAAAAGACCTGTCTCTTCTTTCCTCTCTGTAATGTTGTCTTTTAAATAAGAATTATTCCTCTGTTTTTGTTTTTTTACAAAGATTTACTTACCTTATTTGAAAACCAGATTTACAGAGAGGAGAGATAGAGAAAGTCTTCCATCTATTGATTCACTATCGAAGTGGCTACCTTAGCCAGAGTAGAACTGATCCAAAGCTGGAAGCAAGGAGCTTCTATATTTTCCAGGTGAGTGTAGGGTCCAAAGGACTTGGGCCGTCATCCATTGTTTTCCCAGGCCATAAGCAGTACCGGATTAGAGGTGGAGGAGCTAGGACATGGGCACCCATATGGGATGCCAGCACAGGGAAGAGGATTAGTGTGCTGATCCACTGTGCTGGCCCAAATACTGAATCTTTAAAAGTAAAGATTATCACTTGGTTGTCACTTTTTTTTTTTAATTAAAGATTTATTTTACCTAAAAAGAGTTAGAAGGAGAGAGAGAATCTTCTCTCCTCTGGCTCAGTTCCCAACTGACCGAAATGGTTGAAGCAAAGAAGCTACAAAGCTCCTGGTGCATCTCCCATGTGGATACAGGGGCACAAGCCTTTGGGTCATCTTCCCTTGCTTTCCTAAGTCATTACCAGGGAGCTGGAAGGGAAGCAGCACAGTTCATTTGGGATGCCAAAGCCATAGGTGAAGAATTAACTTGCTATCTCACAGCCAAGGGTTGTCACTTTTTAAGCATGTAGTTGAAAGAAAGGCCTCCCAGTCACTATTTCACTTTCTACAGTAGCTCTGTTCTGAGAGCTGAGAAAACTGCATTTGGGTCACTCTGAAGGGTACCAGTAACCTAAGTACTTCAGCCAGCTACCTGCTGGTTCCTAAGTCAAGCCTCAGGAAGCCGGAAGTATAAAGAGCCAGGTCTCAAAAATCCAAGTACCAGGTAATGGAAGGGGGCAGGTAGCATCCCAGTTGCTACAAATGCATACCTTTACTCCATCCCCTATCTCCAATATGTACAAGGTCCGCAAAACTTGTACTCAGTGCGGAAATATCAAATAAATAATTCTATGCTTGACCTCATGTGATGGTTGTAATTAAAACACAGGAACATCAAAAACTCTGTATTAATAATTATATAATTCAATAAAAATTTAACAATTTAATATTAATGCTTCAATGGGGAGCAGCGACTTACCGCCATTCTCCTGCACCAGCTTTGCAGCTGGGAAGTGGTAGGCCGCCAGTGAGGGCCTGGGGATGCAGATTTTGGTGCGGAAGATGGGGCTAAGGACATAGCACTGGTAGGCATGTGCGGATCTGGGCGCTCACCTCTAGGCAGTTGGAGTGAACCTGGGGATTTACCTGTATGCTTGGTCTTGGGCAAGGAGGGAGAGAGCTCCAGGTCAGTATGCTGCCCTGGTGTGCTGGTGCACCAGGTCTAGAGAACCTCAATGGGCCTGCATCTTGGGTATGTGGAATGGTAAGGCACCAGGCCAGCACATGTGCCAGGAGCTTGGGACTCTGGTGGGCTGGCAGAGCTCTGGATCAGCACACCACCCACTGGGCTTCTGAATGCTGGGCTGGAGAACCTATGCACTCCTGGGCTCAAGGACTGTGGATTGATTAGGGAAAGGAGCAAGTGGATATGGGGTAGAGAGGACTGTCATGGGAGTATCTTGCAGGTGAGGAAGGACTCCTGCAGAACTCCCAACAACAAGGCAGGTAAATAAGGGGACTTACACCTGCTGGTTTGGAGGGGAGAGACCAGAAGACCTTTATAGGTCAGGCGGATGCACCAGCCCACATGGAGACTGGAGCTGGTCCTGTTAGCATGAAACATTGCTGATCACCATACACAACACCCCATCTGAAAGCTAGGGTAGCCTGTCTGGCAGAGCTAGATCCCAGTACCTGATAGTGAGTGTTGGAACAGGGTCACGTTAGCCTAGGCCATGACACTAACCAGTATGCAAGAGAACCAGGTATGGGGGTAGATTCTGTAGGGGATATTTGGGGCTAACCCTGTGGAAATATAAGTCCTGCTGGTTGTCTTAAGAGCTGGGGTAGTGATGGGCTGAACTAGGCATGACTATGGAACTTGCTGATACAAGTACTGGGGCTGGGTACAGGCTGGGTAGATCCAAGCTTTAGTACCCATATGCACACCCTAAAACAAGGTGTGGGACAGGACAGGCTGCAATATCTGCCAGCTCATATGAAGACTGGGATGGAGGTAGTAGGCTATGCTGGGTAAGGGTCTAGCACCCACTGTCATGCGTGAGATCTGGGTCTGGGAGTGGTCCCAGCAGGGCAACTTGGGAAACTCCCCTACTGCATCATAGCTCCCGCTGGTGAGCACATGGTTCAGGCCTGGATGTTGGGCAGGTTGGGCAATTTAGCATTATCCTTCGGCAACTGTGTGGGTTGGCTTTTGAAGTGAGGGACCAGGCAGGGCCAAGCAAACCTTAGCCCACTGGCAAGTACAGAAACTAGGCTGGAGTTCAGGTCATGCCAGGCTAGGTTATCACACCTACTGGTTTGCATGAGCCAGGGATGGGAGCAGACTGAGCAAGGCTAGGTTCCAGCACCCATCAGTGAGAGTTGGGGGCAGGCCAGGTCAGAAAAGGCTATAGCATCCAAAGGCAAAGGCCAAGACAGGTGAGGGGCTTTGCCAAGCTGGATCAGAGCAATCACTAGCACACGCAAAATCTGTGACTGGGAATAGACCTGGTTGGAGAGCTAAGGGGATGCATTGGCTAGGTTGTGGTTCCCACTGGTGAGCATGAGGGCTGAAGTCAGGGCTGTGATCTGGTCAGGACCTGGATGCAGTCTCCCTTGGCACAGGCATGGACTGGGCTATGCCAGACTGGGCTAGACTTCAGCACCCACTGGTGAGAGCAAAGGTTGTCTGTAGGAAGGACTGGGCCAGATCTCTGGTCCTGCTGAACCATGTGTGAGCTGTGTCTGGATGTGGATCAGGATTGTCTGGGCTGTAGCACCCAACAGTAATAACCAGAATGGGTGAGGGACTGTCAGGAAAGGTCACTGTTCTGGCTAGAACAGAAGGTAGACTAAGTAGGGCTGGCCCATGGACTCAACAGTATACTTGAGATCTGACATTGGGAGAAGTTCTGATGGAAGAACTTGGAGAACTCCTCTGTTGGGACCTAGTCCCTGAAGGTGAGTGTAAGAACCAAGACAGGGAGTATCCCAAACCAGGCCAGGTAATGGTACCCACCGGTATACTTTTGACTCAGGTCTAGGATGAGCCAGGCTGGACCAGTTCATTTCACCTGCTGGCAAATCCGAATCAGCACATGTGAGACCAAGGGTAAAGGGACAAACCTGGCGGGCAGGGGGTGAAGGGGGCACCCGTGCTGGGGTACTACTCACTCCCACTGGTAAGCACAAGAGCTGGGATCAAGGGCAAATCAAGCCAGCAGCACTTGCATGCAAACTGGATCAGGCAAAAGCCAGGCTGAGTTGACTGTTCTTACCGTTGTATGCATAAGCCAGAGTGTGTGCGGGTTGGTTGGGCTTTGTCACATCAGCTGGCAGATGCTGGCATGGAGGCAGATTCTGTCAAGCTAAACTGCAAAACCACCTGGAAAGCTCAATGTCCGGGAGTAGACGAAACAGGGAAAGTCTGTACCTCCCTCTTGGGTTGCCACTCCCACTGGGAGCATGAAAACCAGGACTAGGGGCAGGCATCGCTAGACACAGTGGCACCAGTATGTCCTGGATAGTGGGGCTGGTTGGGTTGAACTAGTCTTCAATCCCCATTGACATGTATGAGAGTAGAATGGGGTGTGGGACAAACTGGACCAGTCTGCTGTTCATACTGGCAAGTAAGGGAACCAGGGCAAGATCGACAGCAATATAGAACTGTTGAACTATATCAAAACCACTTAAGTAGGACCCTTGGAGCATGCCCCACATCGGGGACCCTGAGATGGGTGGGAGGCTGAGTGGCATCTACCCTCATCTCCCCTCTTCTTCCAGATAGTCAGGAAGAAAATGTGGAAACAATGACCTAACCCACTTTCTTCTGGCCCTTAACCCTTCACACTCTAATCAGCTATGTAAAAATCACCAAAAAGGAAATTGAAAAAAATTAGTTTCAAGTAAGGTATATATATGTACTAAAATTAATTTTATGCTAAGATATCTCATTATGTATGTACAAATATTCAAAACCCTCAAATCTTAAACACTTCTCCTAGTCTTAATTACTTCAGATAAAGCACACTAAACTAGCTTTGTCAGAACTGTTCTATTCTTTGCATGGTTGATCTATCTTTGGGTGCCAGGTTTTTTAAATCTTCAATTTCTTGCATCTTCACTCTGTCTTAAAATAACTAAGGTTAGCTTGCCACTCAGTGTAGCTATACTCAGACTTTGTTCGTATTTATACTTTTCTTTCCAGGAGTTTCATGGTCTTAAAATTCCAGCAAACTATTTTCACACTTACTTCTTCATGTATAATCTAGATCACTCAATCCTGCCCTATTTTTAAACTCTCATCTCATTAAAGTTGTATTCCAACACTCTTGGCAATTTTATGTTATTAGTTGAATAAACATCAACATGAAGCACAGAACATAGCTGATGAGAAACATTGTCTTTCAGATCATGGTAAAAAGTGAATCTTTTGTCCACTTCTTCATAATCAGTGGAAATGTCTTTAATTATCTTAAAGAATTACGGCAATACGTGTTTCTTAATCTTCAAAAAAAACACACCAGTTTATGGAGAGGCTATCTTTATACTAAATTAAAACTTTATTGAATAAAAGACACTCTTCAGAACACATGATCTGATGGACCAAGACTACGTTACATGCAATGAAGCTGAACATGACAGTAGTTTAACATGGAATGTCAAACAAATTAGCAATTTCTCATTGTACAAAACTCTTTATGTAATTGATGTGCAAGAAAAGTATGGTTCTCGGCATTTTCACCAATCATTTGTGATGACTTTGAGAAAGGCATTTGTAGAAAATGGTACGTATCTTCAGCATACAGTTCAAATAAATTAGTTACATGTGTACTACTGAAACCTTTCAACCTCCCTTGCATTCCAAAGAAAATCTTAGTGCAAACATCCAAATTGCTGGTCACTTCCATAGTCTGTCAAACTCATATTGTAGGATACAAGTTCTGAATTAACGTGTACTAATAAGTAGGACAAAATCAAGAATACCAGTTACTGCAAAATTGATTTAGGCACACTTAATATTTCATTCTAAGCATTTCTTCTAAGTCTCTCACATTAATGACTAAAGCCTGTTTACAGTACTAAAATTCTATCATTCAAGCATCGACGATTACATTTCAGTAATAGCATCACTGCTATGTTCTAAAATAGAGAAAAAAAAAGAAAAAAAATCATAATTAACAAAATCAGTATCCATAATAGGATATACAGGGAGTAGGGGGAGACACTTCACGTGGAAAAAAATGTGCTCTACTTGCACAGCAGGAATCACATAATGTAAACACCGTATTGGCCCACACCACAAAATCCATGAGAAAATTTCAAATTTGAGCCCTGTGTGCACATTATTTTCAAATCTGTGTTTGTGAGTTTATACTGAATCTGCTTGTACCAATACATGACAAATAAAAACATTCTCTTCCACACACATACATGTACAAGTGATTGTTAAATATTGAGCATGGCTTGCTTCCCTGACTCTAGCTCAAAAAATGACATCCCAATTGATGTAGAATGTCTGCAAAACCGTTAAATGAATGTGAATAGTAGTAGAGGAATGACAAAAATAAGTGATGGTAATGATGTGACGAAAGTGGATGCATACAGAACTGGCTGTGACGCAAATGCATGAAAAAATTTTTTTCTGTGGGCCTTGTCTGAACTTTTGACTGATGCTAAGAATAAAAAAAACATAGTAGCAAAAGTCCATAGACACCTGGAGGGTCAGGCCTAGAAAGCTAACCTTCAAAGTGCAAACTTTGACAATGGAATGTTTTAGCAGGGATGTAAAGATAATCCTGTCTTTTCCTTGCTCAGAGCAAGGAAGATGTTCAGGAAGTATTTAATCCTTGCTAAAAAGCTATTTCTGTTTCTTGGTAAAAGAAAGCAAAATATTTAGCTGCAGTTAATCACCCACTCTTTCACATATACAGAATCAGTCTTGAGGGTTTGAGGGAGTAGGAAGGGAAGAAAAGCCCTTATCTATATTATCACCTAATGCAACTCTTATTTTATGTTCTTTGAATTCACTACATTAAATACCAAATGTACCTCCCACATTGGTATTCATTCCCTCCCCTTCCACCCACCTATCCCAGATACTCCCAATGAACCTAAGAATTCTACTGTCTTTGCGTTTATTTTCTAAGCCTCATGACTAAGGCTGTTGAGTACCACCTCCACTGGAACAAAATTCACACCTAAGGTGCACTTTCTACAGCACCTGTTTTCTTCTCCACAGTTTGCGTGGAATCTTGCTGCTTAAGCCGCATCTAGATCTCCAGGTCGTCAGGCCGAGGTCTGCTGCTGGCACGGCTGCTGGCTCTGCTTGAAGGTCGCTGGTCCACAATGGCTAGAGGCTGCAGTTCATGTCCAGCCGCAAGTTTTTTGGAATTCTGGTTATCATCCGGGAAATCAAAAGGTTGCGCATGTGAGTTAGAGATGGTACTTCCTGCCTGCCCCATTCGGTTTTGTTCTGCGCTGTAATTAGCCCAGTTTTGCTCACTTGCTTGCTTGTTGTAATTGCGGCAAGAAGAATTGTTTCTGTCGCCGGTGACCAGCTTGTACCCAGGAGGAGACATGGGTGAGAGAGGAGCAGTTGGTGAGGAGCAGCCGTTGAAATAGGCGTATTTGGGGGACCCACAGTCTTTGGATGGGCTCAGCGGGCCAGTGGTGGCGTGGTAAGGATCACTCTTTCCCTTCACACGATCCTTCACACCCTTAAAGAAGACATAAAAGAGCTCAATGATGTTCAACGCAAGAGACACCAAGGACACCACCAGCATGAAGATAATAAAGATGGTTTTTTCAGTGGGGCGAGAGAGGAAGCAGTCCACCTGATGGGGGCAGGGATCTCTTTTGCAAGTATAAACAGCACTCAAGCTGAATCCATAGATGTACCACTGGATCAGCAGGAAGGCCACCTCGAAGACAGACTTGAAGAGAATGCTGATAATGTAGGTGCGCAGCAAGCCCCCTCGCATCTTCACTTTGCCATGCTCTTCAATGCCATACTTGAACTTCTTTATCTCAATCTGCTTCAAGTGCATCTCCACGTTGACACCGTCAGTTTGGGCAACTTTGAGCTCCTCCTCCTTCTTGTTGAGCTTCTCTTCCTTTCTCATCACATAGAATACGTGCGCTAGGTACAAAAGGGTGGGTACTGACACAAATATGATCTGCAAGACCCAGAAGCGCACGTGAGAGATTGGGAAGGACTTGTCATAGCAGACATTTTCACAACCAGGTTGTTGAGTGTTACAACGGAAGGCAGACTGCTCATCACCCCAAGCTGACTCAACTGCTGTTCCCAGTAGCAGGATTCGAAAAATGAAAAGGACCGACAGCCACACCTTCCCTCCAGCGGTGGAGTAGGCTTGGACTTTGTCCAGGAGTTTGCCTAAGGCACTCCAGTCACCCATGTTGCCTGGGCACCACCTAGAAAGAAACAGAAAAAACAACTAAAGGATCACTGATCACAAATCCATAGTTCAAGATACAGAATTTTCCAGACGATATTGCAAAGGATTTCATATTTTTCTAGCATTCTTCCCCTCTAAACGCCCCCTGTCCTATTTTCTCTTCATAAAGAGCTATTATTATGTTGTCCTGCAGAAACAAGTTAAGTCCTAGAAGCAGCATAGCAGAGTGATTTGTAATCCCAACCTGAGATGGATAGCTCACTCAACTGTTGCCTTGCCACGTGACTTGAGAAGCTGTCTGTGCTAGGTGTCTCTGCTTATTTAATTTGTTTGATAAATGAGGACAGTTCTTGCCTGGTAGGCCTGTAACTGGATGCAAGCCTGGGCACAATGCTGATGTGTTATTCAAAACACAGGCATGCAAGAACACCCCTGAGCACAAGAAAACCCATGAACTCATACACAATCTTTTAAAACACTGCTACTTTATTATTCAACCTTACTATGAGTACTTATGCATACTCTATTACTTATATAACCCACTGTCCACAAAGATTAAGTATACACCATTATTTCATGTAAAACATTCGCCTGGCTTTGATTCTTTTCCCTGGCTTCCAATTCCAGCTTCCTGCCATTCACATGGAAGGCCTGGATTGAGTTCCTTGCCTCTGGTTCTAACCAGGCCCAGCCTTGCCAATTACAGCTATCTGGGAAGTGAACTGGCATAAGAGGTTTCCCTGTCTGACACTTAAAAAAATAATAATTATTATTATTTTATTGGGTTTTCAATATACACATTCATCTTCATTCCTCTTTCAATGTCTAGTGTCTCAAGCCTAGAATTTCCTTTTTATTGGGGATAAAAAAAAAATCTATGTCTGTAGAACTGATACGGATCTCAAAAGGATATCTAGTTCAATTTATGCCTCTAATTGTCAGTTGTTAATTTTCCTGAGGTTGGGCGGGGGAGTGAATGTTCTAAAGATAGAGGAACTACTCATATATTGGTACAATCCCCATGTACAAGGCTAATACATTCTTTTGATTTTAATATGAAAAGCTGTGAAAGCTACTCATGTTTCACAGTTTGATACACACAATCTTAACAAAGGCTGGAAGTCGGGAAGAAACAACTGACGTGATATGACAGACGAAGAGAATATAGGCTGAGTTTGCAGACAGTAGTGACTGGAAGGTTCAGAAACTGATGAAGCAGACAAAATTTCAGTAATTAGAAAACGAGCAAAAACCCTCATGATGTTATAGTGTAGCCAAAAATGAGACAAGAATACACATAGGTAACTTTGGCATACAGATGAGGGTTCTTCAGAAACAGAGTTGAAAGGTTTGTTATTTTCACGCCATGGGGCCCTGAAGCCAGGAACCAATCCAGATACTAGGAAGGGCTGCATTAATTGGAAGCTACAGTCAGCAGCTGGAAGTGGGTGTTGAACCAAGGCATTCTGATGCATGATGTGAGATGCTTACCACCCCTCCACACACTTCTGATGTATTCTGTGTAGCAGCTCCTCATTCCATAATGATCTATGAGCCATATTCTCCATGCATGAACTAAATGAAAGACAGGCAGAAGGGGGAAATCTTTTCCCATGCAATATCACATTTCTGTCTAATCACTGCATCTCCTGGCTATAGACAGGGGCCATGAAAAAATGGAATGGAAACTAGACCTGGGATTTCCTGAAGGGAACAAAGAAAAGAGATGGCTGACCCAGAACGGATGCCAAAGAATGTAATAAGAGAGGAAGCAGATGGGAAGGACCCAGAAATAATGCTCTCCCACTGGTCATCAAAGACAGTCTGCCACAATTACCCTGTGTCAATTAGAAAGAACTTCCCTTCTACTTTTAGGAGGACCATTTTAGATTCTAAAGTGACAAGTTAGAAAAGGAAACCTGAAGTATGAAAAGAACAGCTAAACCAGAACAAAGGCTGCAAACCGACAGTGTTCAGTAGCCAAGAAAAGGCCTGAAGTGAGAAGAGCAATTCAGTCAGGATGGAATTTGATTATGAGAATATAAATGAAAGCACTAGACTTGGAATAAAATACAGTCCATGAGGGTCAAACAAACATAACAGAATTTTTGGAGCTTTATCAATAGACAGTTTCTATGTGATGATGTGTAAATTGGCCCTAAATCTGTTTGTAAAGAATTACAATTTTCTGCCAGTATCATCTGCTTTTGCTCAGATCGTCCAATTGTTGGGAGAAATGTACCCAGAACAGTCCAGTGTAAAGCGATAATCCATTTGCAAACATCTCATCACATTCATGCAATGAAAGGTCAAGATAAGTCTGTTTTGTTAGAAATAAATCTGACCACCAAAATTTGATTGCATAGATGGTTGTCACAATTCGTTACAAAGCTTTTTATATTCTATGGGAAATGAAATTTGCTTTCAAAAAACTGTGATTTCACAAAAACACTCTACAACACTGCAGTGTGAGTTGGGTCAGCAGGCCACTCTCTGGGTCATGGTTCTGCTTTAATACACCAGCAATTTAATTGCAAAGTTGTCTCTCTTTTTTAAAGCACCCAGAGTTATAATTTGCATTAATGAGGTATACTCTTTCATCTAGATAAGATGTAAATTATCTAATTGGACACCTCATAACCCTATAACATGTCATTACCACCATCAGGGACCATGAAACAGGATTCACTGTGATGGCTCATCTTGTGACAACCAAGTGACTTGAATCACTCTTACATGAACCAAAATTCGAGCAGCTGGCTGTTCTAGCTCCCATTTCTGGTATAATATTTTCATTTTCCCAAGTTTTTGTAGCAGAATTAACACCCTTTTATAAGGAAAAGGCATAATAGATTTATAGAATCTGAGGCATAAACTTATAGTCAGATTAAATAGATACAGGAAAACCAACGTAGCTAAGCATGTCATTTAAGTCATGTCTTTACCTTTTTCCTGATTGGAGTTTTATATATGTGGATCATGGTCTATGCAGATTAGTTGTTTAAATTCCCCCCTTCCCTCATTTTATTTGAAAGACAAAGAGGGAAAGAGATGGATTTTCCATTTGCTGGCTCACTCCCTGAATGCCAGGGGTAGGCCAGGCCAAACCCGAAGCCAGAACTCCAACCACATCAGTTCTTTGTGTGGGTGGTAGGGACCTAAATATTTAAGCCTTACTCAGCTGCCTGTCAGGTGCAGGAACTGATAGATTCGGGTGTCCCAAGGAGCCTTTTTACTGCTGCGCCAAATACCTGCCCAAAGCCCAGATTCTCGACAGCAGCTGGACCGCTCTGTGCCTTCTGTGCACCACATTAGATCACATTTTCCATTACCCTGTATAGATGCCTAGACTAGGAGAGCTTCAAGCACCAAATGCAACCTGTTTCAGAGATTCTGGCTTTTTTTAAAAAACTGAGTTCCTGAATTGCTATCACAATCAAATTGCCTGTACTTGTTAAAAATTCCATTCCAGACCATCACCAGTCTGGAAAATTTGATTTATGAGAGAAAAAATCTAGAAAATGAGTTTTGGTTATTTTTTAAAACACATGTTAACAGGTGGTTTTAAAATAATGCAAGCTGGCCCCCAGCAAAGTCCTTGCCTGGCATGTGCCGGGATCCCATATGGTTGCTGGTTCTAATTCCAGCAGCCCCACTTCTCACCCAGCTCCCTGCCTGTGGCCTGGGAAAGCAGTAGAGCACAGCCCAAAGCCATGGGATCCTGCACCCGTGTGGGAGACCTGGAAGAAGTTTTGGCTCCTGGGTTCAGATCTGTGCAGCACTGGCCATTGTGCTCACTTGGGGAGTGAATCATCAGATGGAAAATCTTCCTCTGCATGTTGCCTCCTCTCTGTATATCTGACTTTGCAATAAAAAATAAATCAATCTTTTAAAAAAAAAAAAAAGGCAAGCTGGCAAAGTTTTCCTTTAAATTTGGGGTGTTGGGCCCAGCGTGGTAGCCTAGTGGCTAGAATCCTCACCCTACACACGCTAGGATCCCATACGGACATTTGTGTCTCAGCTCCTCCACTTCCCTTCCAGCTTTCTGCTTATAGTCTGGGAAAGCAGTTGAGGATGGCCCAAAACCTTGGGAGCCTGCATCTGTGTGGCCTCTGGCTTCATATGGGCTCAGGTCTGGCCATTTGTAGCCACTTAGGAAGTGAGCCAGTACATGGAATTTCTTTCTATCTCCCCTCTCTGTAGATCTGACTTTCCATAAAAATAAATAAATCTTAAAAAAAAATTTTGGGGGGGTACTTTCTTGTTCAAAATATTCAGAAATGGGAAAAAAGGGCAGTAGAGCTGAAAGAGCTGAGGTCTGCAGAAGGCACGTGACTCAGCAAGAGGAACTTTGGCTCTCTTGGTACCCAGGCCCTGTACTCACTAGGGTTTCCAAGGACTCAGGACTCCCCTATATCCCACAAACCCATCTGCCCTGCCTGAGAGCATCGGATGTAAATGAAACAGTTTAAAAACAGATTTTCTAATTTAACTTACATTGGCTATCTCTTTGGCTAAAACCTTACAAATACTTTCCCCTAAAGTGGAAGCCTCTCTATGCCATTAATTTCATTGGAGTTAGAAAATAAGGTTTTCCACAGCAGGCAACTATAAACAAGTGGGAAAATAGATGCTTAAAAATTCAAGAGAAGTCTAAAAGCGCATAAGGAATTGCGTGTGGGAGTTCCTTACGTTTTTCTCTCATTTTTCTTTAAGAACTCCTGCCCCTTGCAAGAAACGTCTTTGAGCCCAGCAGTGACTGCTGTGCTAAAGTCTGACGTTCTCTGGTGGAATTCCTATGCACACAATTAACACAACGTACAATTAATCCACCAACAAAGTACTCCAGGTACTATCGTCAAAATACACCCAGACCCATGACCTTGCTAAAGGTCAGCCATCAGTCACTCTCTTCAGATTTCCTGCCACTGGTCACTGCCTAAAAACCAGCATCCACTGATCTGCTTTGATCAGTTCCCTTTATCCACACAGCTTACTTCCTCATTTGCTTCATTTCAATAGACAATTTCCATCAGGTATAAAACAGCAACATCCTTTACCCAGTGGTGTCATTTCCTATCCCCTTTGCCCCGTTTTTGCTTTCTTAAAAAAATAACTAAAAAAAAAATTTAAAAGTTTTAGCTCTGCTTGACATTTGTCTTTTATCACACTCTACCTTTCTTGACTGGTACGAGCTATGTGAGTAATTATACTGGGGCAATCACTCTTACTCCTTAGAAGATGTTGCATATATTAAATGGAGTCTATACAGTGCAACCTGTTTTTACTATCTCTTTAGAATTCTCTTAATTTTATTTGTCTCAAACTTCTAAGGGTTCGGGAATATTTAAAAAGGAACCTTATTGGTTCAAAAAAAAGTCTTGCCAATATTTCAAGTGACAGTTGCTAAAATCTGCTTCAAAGCATCTAGAACAGGCAAGAGCACGGAATGAAGGTAAGAGGCTTTGCAACAAAGAGCTTCTTAGATGAGATCCTAATGATTAGATTCTTGTAGAACTAGAATAGGCCCAATGGATGAACATTCAGCTGCATGTTAGGATGTTACAGGCTAAGTTAAACAATGACAACACAAACCTGTGCTGCACCCCTCTGTTCTGGGATACCCTGACTTCACCACACTTTACTGTTAACTCAAACCGGTACTGGAAGAAATGGCTTGCTTAAAATTATCTTTATTTCAAGAATGACAACTAGAGGTGGTTAGGATTTTGAAGGAGGTGGACAGCAGCTGGTATTAACTAGACTCTGTAACAATCAGTGGGCAATGAACTGATTCAAACCAGGTGATATGGAGCATATTCCCAGTTTCACATTCCAACCCTGGACAGTTAGCCTAACAATGTGCTCCAGCCAATACACCTTATGCAGCAAACATCTGTTTTAAATTATGCCTCATTGTTCTTTGATTGCTCAGATTCTGTTCAGAATGACAACACTGACATTTCCACAGGTGTCTCATACAGGCCACTGAGTTGCTTAACACTATTCTCCCTCGTCCCAACCCCACCCCAGGAACTGGGGTGGTGAAGAGTGGAGAGCAGAACAGCAAACACAAGCTTTTTTCTTTCTTGATCTTCCCCTACTCCCTCACAAGCCTCACCTTGCCTCAACCTGGAAACAATAAGGAGATGAGCTACAAGTTGAGGACTCAAGGACGCTCTCCAATAAAAGAATGCCAATCCATGATTCCCTCTCTGCTTCAGCACCTACCCTGCACTCCCTCGCCTACACAAATTTCAAGGTCAATTTATGGATGCTGGAGGAAAAACCCTAAGCCAGAAGTTGCAGCCCAAAGCTATGTTCACTAAGGAGCTAAATAATTTTACATATTTCTGCCCAGGGTTGGTGTTTCTTGCGCCTCTGCCCTCACTCCCACCTCCAAGTTGGCTATTTTTATATTCACCAGCCCTGCTATTTTGCAATCATGGGTACACATCCTTAGGGCCCAAGTGTGTCCGGAACAGTCTATTTTCTTCAGTAAGGAAAGAATGAGGTAGCTCACACTTGACAAACTCTTCGTGAGAGCTCCGGAGTGTACAGCAATTACTCTTGAAAAACTTTTAGACAACTCATTTATTATTTTATTTTTGATATCTCTAACAAAACACCAATCACAAACATAAGCACCCATTACTTTTTTTTTCAAGAAAAAAAAATTGAAAGCTAGGGAAATAAGAAAATTAGGATGTCAAATTTATGAGATTTTTCTAAAGCCACCGACACTAGGAAAACAAACCGTGGTTTGAATTTTGGCAACAACTCTGTACACACACAGCTGAATGGGAAAATTCAGACAGTTAAAGCAAAGTGGATAATTGAGGCAGTTATCCCAAGAATTCTGATCTCCCTTGGAGGAGAAAAGGTCTGGGGATTTCTCTTGTTAGCTTTAACTACCTCTACTGAATAGTGACATTAATGGTAAATACTAGATACCCAACTCTCTCTCTCTACAAAGCTGAACTTTGTAGATAAGATTTTGACATATCTGTTCAGACAACTGAGAATCTTGAGGGGAAGTCAGAACAACAGGAAAGGTGGGGCAGAAGGTATTAATCATTGGTGACTTTCCTATCTTCCCTGGGGCTATGTAAAGGCGCCAGCTACACCTCTGGATAATATTAAAGAAGCGACATCAAGCAGCGAGATGGGGGTCCCCACCCTGCCCGCTGCGGGAATTTACAAACGTCTAAGTAACTAAGACATCCCCCAGATCTGAACCACTGCCCTCTGTGGAACCTGTTTCCCGTGAAAGGTCAACACTGTAGGACTTTAACAGCCAAGGGTGACAGACCGAGTGGCAGGAGCAGCTGGGGTGAGAAAACGCAGAGGTATTAGAAAAATGTGGGACACGCTTCCACAGTCAAGAAGTGGCAACGTCCTATCAGTGCCCCAGGAAGGGGCAGGTGGGCGCTCCACGTTTGCACCCACTCACCGGGCCACTTGTTCAAGGACTCAGAACTCAACACACCGCCACAGCACAGCTTCCTTCCCGAGGCTGGCACTGCTCTCCATTAGGCCTACCCAGAAGAACTCGTCTTTTCACCCCCAAAGGCTTAGTCTGCAATCGGCTTATTTCACTGCAGGGAACGGGTTCTTTACATTACTACCTCCTGTTGTTTTCAGTAATCCTCGTGCACAAGTGAAAAAAGGAGGCTTCTTGTGCGAGACCCTTCAGACGGGAGTTCTAGAATGTTATTATCTTGGTTCAGCAGCAGAGGAAATCTCCACTAAATAAACCGTGTCTGCGAGGGCGACACGTGAGGGCTCTCGCTTCCCACCACGGTTGTGGGCCACACTTAGGAAAAGCGGCAGCCCCCCGGGACGGGGATCAAAGAGGCCCCCCGAGATAAACCTTATCAGAGATGCCCGGCAAACGTGCGTCACTGGAAAGCCCGGGTTGGGCTGCTCGGAACCGCAGCCTGGCGTTTCCAAAACCCGCACCTCCTGGCCCAGGGACTGGTCACCGATTCCCGGCTGGCTTCAGGAAGGGGCTTGCTCACCTTCCTCCCCGCGCCCCACCGCCCTCGGAGCACGTTTCATCCACGTCCCGGGAGTTACAAGTGCACTTTCAGCACGTGAATTCCCAAGGTGCTCAAGTTTCCCCGCCAGAGTTTGAGAGAAAGGGGAGGGTGAGAAATCACTGGGACAACTCTGAAGAGATCCCGGGCTCAGGGCCGTTTGGCGCGCAGCCCGGTGCCCCAGCCCCCCGTGCCCGGCGTGGCGGGGAGCATCCGCAGGCCCCAGGGATCGGGGTAGGGGAGCGTCCGCAGCCCCCCGCGCTCGGGGTGGAGGGGAGCATGCACAGCCCCCCGCGCTCGGGCGCCCAGGGACCGCAGCCCCCCGCGCTCGGGGTGGAGGGGAGCATCCACAGCCCCCCGCGTTCGGGCGCCCAGGGGCCTGGAGGGGCGGCGCGGCCGCGAAGATGGCAGAGGCGCCTGGCGCCGGCCCCCGGCCTCGGAGAGCTTTCATTTTGACTTGCTTTCCCGCGTCCTCCGGTGCAAAGACTTGAACTGCGGGGGGGGGAGGTCACAGTCTGTGGATTCGGACTGAGCAGAAAATGCTCACCGGATAGCAAAAGGCATGGATGGGTTTCTGGCTAACTGAATATATTCCCAATAAACGACGCTTTTAAGAAAAAACAAAAAACAAAAAAAAACCGAACCCTTCAAAACACGCCTGAGCGGGATCTCTGCCTGGTGGCTAACAACCTGGCGGCCACAACCCACACCATTGTCCCAGAACGCTGGGGTCTTAGAGGCCGAAGGGTTGGGGAGGGGGTGCGGTTCGTCCAAAGCCCTCAAGGCACTCCTTCGCCCCGTTCCTTCCCCAGCCCCGGTGAGAACACTCCGGCCGACTAGCCCGAGCGTCCGCCCTCCACCCATTCAAGCTTCTCATCTCCGGAGCTGCAAGCATGGTCGAGCAAAAGGCGGCTCTCCCGAGGGTCCCAAATCGTTCCACAGCGGTTACTAACACAAACTACTATCAGTTGATCTCTAAATCTCCCTAGGAATACTCTGGACTTTGTATCTTGTTGTTTAGTGGGGAGAATTCTAGGAAAGAACCACGTGGAAGTGCAGTCACCACAATGTCTTAACAAAGCAGATATTACAAAAGATGTTTGCTTTGTGAGGCTGTGGAACATCATTCAAGGTTACCACCATAGGAAGGGGCACCTAGAGATGAACACCAGAAGAAGCAAACAAAGCAAAGCGAATCTACACTTTGATTTTTTTTTTAAATCTAGTCAGTCAAATCCTAACCCACCCCCCCCACCACCCCCGACAAGTAACAGGACATCTAATCTATTACTGATTGCAGAAGATTAAGCAAAATTACACTCTAAAAAAAACTCCAAATATTCAACAAGTTATAAATTCTTCATTGTAATGCTCAAGGCTTGAACCTTTTACCTGTTGCATTATTAACAGAAACTTTTTCTAACAGTCAAAATATAAATCCGGTAAAGTTTGAGCTTCAAACAACAGAAACACTTGCAACTTCAAGTCCCTTTCAAAACACCATACATCAAAGTTACAGTCTGAAAAGTTTGAAGTTCTATTAGTAGAAAAAGAAACTAACAAATAAAGTGCTTTTTTTTTTTTTCTCAACTTACTCGTTCTTCTAAAAGAAGTGAAGTAGGCACGCCAAGTGATTGAACTCCTTGGGAGGATGAAGTAAGGTGAAAAGGCGAGTTCAGGCACTCAGACCTGTCTATTTAAAGTTTAAAAGTCTGCTGCTGTTTGGTGCTTTCCTCACGCCTTCCCCCTAATGAAAGAAAAGTGCTGATACCTCGTAAAAGCTTTTTTCTAACTTGCAGCACAGAGCTTTTAAAAGTTTCAAGCCACTGACTCAACTAGGGGGAGGGGCTAGGAAGAAGCAAGGGGAGGGAAGAAGGAAAGGCGAGGAGGAGGTGGGAAAGGGGCTGGCGAATGCAGGGGGGAGGGAAGAGGCAGAGAAGACCAAGCCAGGTCGAGATAAAAGTTGCAGTTAACTTTGCTGACAACAAAAGACAAAGCAACGTGAGGTACATGAATGCCGCCACTTGGAATTACTCCCTACAGATTAAAAAAAAAAAATTGCTGTTTTTTAGGGTTTGTTTTTCCAAAAGACCTGGGATCTTGAAAACATATGTTTTTAAATATTACAAGAGTTTCTAAAATGAATATATATATATATATATTTTTTTTTTACACTAAGTTGCGATAAAGAATGCGACCGGTGCCAGCTTGTTTTATAATGGCTAAGGTGTGTGAAGTTAAGGGTGGGCGTGGGTGGCCTGGCTGATGATCTAATTCCCTTCCTTTTAATTTGAGTGTGGACAATTAACAAAGGAAATGTGGGAATGTGAGGAAGACATTTAAAAAAAAAGGTCTAAATGGTGTTCTGTCCATCTCCAGCCAGTCTTCCTATCCTTCGACTGCTTTGTTTCTTTCAATTAGCAGCAAGAATATGCTCATATATACTCATATGTGAGCTCGTGTCACCTGTTTAATATGTTGGCTGTGAAATCTTGAAATCTGAACTCCAACGAACCGAAAGTTTCCATTGTCTTAGTCCTTTTAATGCCAACACAATAAAATCTGAATCTGTAGAGAATTCTCAGGTAGTTCTTACGTTTGTTTTGTTTTTCCAGAATCAAACACAAACTACAGTTACTTAAAATTTGGAGTTGGCTATAGTGGATTCCCCAAACTACAATTGTTCTTACAATCATCTCCGTTCTCGGGCCCCCTGCAGTTTTCGGCAGGGTAACAGAGGACTGGGTTGGTAGCCTACAGAGGCTTCTAAGCCGCTTCCACAGGCTCACACTGCGGGATTCTCCTTAGGCTTTATGATGGCCTGAATCATGTGGCTCTATTCTTCGAGTGGGCAGTTCCTTTGATGGCTACCCAAATGCCCTAGCAGAGGGCTGTATGGCAGGACAATCCTATAAATGGGCTTCAGTGATGCTACAGACTTTGGGCAGGGAAATATTTTGGCCATTATTCTCTGGAAACAACACACTCATCCAGCTTTAATGTACCCAACTCTTTTTCTCAGCAATACAGAAAAAAAAAAAAGTAGGATGGCAAACATTTTCTGGTAAATACCTTTCCCTAAATATACTATTGCTCAAATGACTGATAAAGTGTCTTTGGTTTGAGACATGAGTCTACCCCTCATTGCTTGCTTGCTAAAGAAGCAGAAATCATAATTTGACTTTTGAGTTCTCAGACTCACAACTTACAGGTAGCGTTTTCCTTTGGTATATATTATCCTCTCCTTCAAATGAGCCTATTGCTTTGTCTTAAATGAAAATTATTTCATGTGATACAGAACAAATTCATGAAAATATGATTTTTCATTTTAGGAAAAATATTGTTTCCTTCCTTTTAACAACCTAACCTACATTTAGCTTTTGAAACAGTTTGCTTTATTTTTTGTAAGACAATTTTTGTAGCAACAATTACTGTGGCATCTATTTTATTTTCAAATATGCCTATGTTGCTAATTTGGAATTATGTGAAAGAAAATTTGCTACTGAATATTTTGTCAAGAATTTTAAAGCAAAGAAACCTCTGTTTATTTTTAATGCATTTGATAGGCCTATAGATATTGCTATCTAAATATTCAGCTACCATTTTTAACAATCTCTTACCTAGATGGCATTTTAGAAATGAGGAGTTTCTTTATACTGATCCAATTATTCAAGGACACCTTTTAAACCCTTCAGAGCGAAAGTGATTACTCTGTAGCCTGGATTATGGATTAAGTAATTACTTCTAACACGTGAAGGTACTACGTCTTCTGGTTCTATACTAATTTTCCCATGCTGACTGATAAAAGATCTCAAGATGACTTTATCAAAAAGCACTGATGAAAGACACCATGCTCTCTGCTGCTCCACTGGAAGAACTCTCTAAGGCATGAGCAGGGGAGCTGGGCCTGGTGAGTGAGATCTTGCTGCAGCACTGACAGCTTAGTATTCTCTGGTGGACACAGAGAAGGTTCTCGAAAAGAACAAGAGCCACTTCTGCTACACCTCAACCCTGGCCGTGATGACGAGCTCTATGTTGACAAATGATAAAGTGTTTTTTAAAAATCCCGTTTATCTGATCCTTAGAAGCTTGTCTTCATTGGAATGTTTTGCAAAACAAGGGGCAGATTTTCAAAAGCATGATTTTTTCATAATCTCTGAAATGCCAGTGATATTTCATTAATATAGACATTGGCTTTCCAGAACTCAGAACTGTATCTTCTCTGAATACCTAGGCTTATTCCTGTGTAAGAAATGGAATCAGGTTTATTTACGAGTCAGGCAACACTACACTTTGGAGAAAGAGGGATACTGACTTAGAGTTCCTGTTCTCTAACGAGTTCGTTAAGTTCCACCATGCACCCGCCAGGCCTCAGAACCAACTTGACCCATGCCACTGCACTTTGAGAAACACACATTGCTTGCACAATAGAGATTAAATTATTTCCAAAATAGTAAGAAGCATTTACTAATATGAGAACCATCTGTAGTTTTTATTTTTACCTTGGCTTCAAAGTACGAATTTCTGGAATGTTAAAAAAGAAATGGAATAATCTTAAGAACGTTTAAGGCTGTCTCACAGAGATTCTGGCGAGCAACATACATACGGGAAAGTGGTGAGTATAGACTAGAGGCTAGTAACTGAGGATTACTGTCGCTGTTGAAATGAACTAGCACAGTACCAGCAGGAAAGGAATGGGAGTGAGAATGTCACAGGTGCTGACAGATTCAATGAGGGGACAGGAGAGGAGGCTGTGGAAACAATTTTGGAGTTTGATTAGGAAAATATTACTACCACCACAAAGGAAGCTGGGGATGGGCTCATGTGCTGAAAGAGATAGTCATGTCAGTTTGGAATATTTTAGTATGAAGAATTGACACATCTAGGTAGAGATCTGACGGACACGATCCAACATGTATTGTGGAATTCGGGTTAAAAGTGTTCTAAAGCTCGCTGATTAGTCTCATTGAGGTAATACTTAAAAGTACCCACACATATGAGATTACTGGACAGAACGCAAACCAGACAGTGTAGATGCTTAGTGTACAGCAGACAAAGAAGAAGAATGAAGCCTAGGTAAGGTCAGTGGAAAGTGAGGAATATTTAAAATGGCTACAAGTGAGCTTATTGGCAAGGCAACTGGGGGAATCACCAGCTTTGCAGAAATCATTCCTTTAAAATAAGAGTAAATGATCACGAAGAAGGAGTTTTGAGAAAAAGAATTTGAGAATTTGAAGGTCATTTCTCAGTGCAGGTGAGGTTTAAACAGTGAGAGTAAGAAAAAGTTGAGAAGGCATCTGTAGAATGATAAAAGAACAAATACTCAGAGGGTCTATTCAACTTTCTACTGAGCTGTAACGGTGTTATCTTTCACATTTACTTTCATTTGCATCAGAACAATCCTTTCTGAGTAGCAATTTCCATTTGAACCAATGTTTATTGCACAACGGGAAGGAGAAAGTCAATTTGCAGCTCAATGGTATGCGAGTTTAGAAACACTGCATCCCAAATGGTAAAATCTAACGGGATCTTAATGTGACTGGTCAATCCCATTTCCCCATTCCCATCACAACCTCATTTCCCCTATTACCAACTTGAGCTAGAATCTTTGTTCAACACATAATTTCAGAAGTGTGACAATTTGCTTGGTAACTCCAGAGTTTTTACTTCAGTGAAAATTCGTTTCACAGCATGTATCTTCCTGAAAAAGGATTAGGGATCAAAGTTTGACTACACCTGGGTAAAATTTGAGTTCCTAGCAGTCCATATTTATCTCCAGGTGCATCTAACTGGAAGCTACACACACACACACAAGCAATTGTAAAGGGAAGATTGTTTTGTTTTGCTTTCTGTGTTGACGGTTAAGGAATCCTAGGCGTTGGATGAATACGTCTTTGGCGCCACCTTCTGTGCAAAGGGAAAATCGACAATGGAAGAAGTAACGGAATCCTGATTTCACATTTAAAGTAAAGCTTGTTCAATTTTTTATGATCACTTGCGAATGTCTACAAGAATTGATTTAGCAAGCATGTATGTTTCAGGGATTATGTTAGATGCTAGTGAGAATTTTTAAAGTTTTGCAATGAAGGCAAAAATATCAGGTTTGAAGTATGTTCAATTTTAGGTTTTGAGTTGTTTTTAAAAGAGTTCCCAAAAAGCAAGCCTGAACAACAAAATTACAGTAGAAAAAGTAAATGAGTTTTAAAAAGGAACTTTTTTCTTTGTTTCCACAGAGGCAGGGGCGCGATTTCTAACATTAATAGTATGCCTATTTTAAAAAAAATTGTCCAGAAGCTAAACTGGGAGCTTAGGGTCTGAAACTTTGTTCTACACAAGCATCAGTTTTATATAGAGACAACATGGTCTCTGAACCATCTAAATAAGTTTTTGGTTGTTTGCTCTAAGTTCAATTTGCTGGGGATTATCTAATTCATGAGGAAATGCTTTCATAGTGTTTTTGTTTTGTTTTGTTTTTTCTTTTTGGGACCATAAAATGAACAGTGTTTATTTTAAAGTCACCTGGTGAAGCAGCACTCTCCTCAGCATGCCCACTCATCAGCAATTTATATTGGCATTGCACTAGATGCTGCAGAAATTTGGAAAATACAAAGAATGCTTTATAAATAGATATTCTTTGTGTGCAAATTTTAGTGACTTTCAGATCAAGAGCATTAGTAAATACAGTTTGTTCAAATAACAAACATATAAACAATACTATTTACATACTTGCTGTGCAGAAGTAAAAAAAAAAAAGTTCAGCAAAGGACTTAGCATTGCTTCAAAAGTCAGCTGAGATAAAAATTCCCAAATGAAATATTTACAATG